CACACACGCGCACACACGCGCGCACGCGCAGGAAAACTCATTTACTTGAAGTTTTTCAATGTGGATGCATTGTGGGATTTGTGCTCTCCAGTGAGTCAGGCACAGTAATGCTGGTGGATATTGCAGATGCAGATGTAATCAGGGCTGGAGCTGTGTTACGCCTGAATCTTCATTCTGTGAGGCTTCATGTTTAACGGAGGATCAGTTCAATTAATCCTCTAATGAATGTCATTAAGCTTTGCCTTTCTCACATCAAATACAGCGCTTCAGCGTTATTAGCAAAAAACTACACTATTTACTTTTGAAGAAATGTGAGCGTTTGCATTATTATTTATGATTATAGTATTTTTATTATATTATTTAGTTTTTTATTATTTAATATAATGGATTTTATTGTTTTTGAAAAGTCTGTAGAATTTATTACAGCAAGAAGGTCGCTGGTTCGAGTCCCGGCTGGGTCAGTTGGTGTTTCTGTGTGGAGTTTGCATGTTCTCCCTATGCTTTGGTTTTCAAACATGTGCGCTATAGGGGAATTGATCTACTAATTGGCTCGAGTGTATGAATGAGTGTGTATGGGTGTTTCCCAGTGATGAGTTGCAGCTGGAAGGGCATCCACTGCGTAAACCATATGCTGGATAGGTTGTTGGTTCATTCCGCTGTGGCGACCCCTGATTTTTAAAGAGACTAAGCCGAAAAGAAAATGAATGAATGAATGTATAGTTTATTAATATCTTCGCTAAATAAACAGTTCTATTTCCTTTTGGTTACAGTTCTAAAGGTTTAATCAGTCAATAATGTTTTAATTAATTTTATTTGTATCGAATTAAACTCAAAATCATAATGTGCCTTATTAGTGTATGGTTTTTGACTGTTAATTAACTGTTTTATACATGCTTTATTAATTCATTTCATTAGATTTATTATTGCAGTTTATTAAATTAATTATTTTTAAAAATCAAAAGGAAAATGTTATATTTGGGGAAACACAAAACACTTGATCTATTAATAAATTGTTGTTATGATGCATATATTTCCTTATTTCAATTAATTAAACATTATTGATTACTCAAATTTAATTGAGTAAAAGTCCTGCAAAAAATCAACAAATCATGACATTTTATGATTTTAATTTAGATTTTTTTATTATTTACGCCTTTTAGTAACTAAAATGTAAATAAAAAACATTTCATAATATTTCGTAAACAATTGAATTAATTAGGCATTTAAATAACTAAAATCTAAATATTAAATGTTTCCCCTTATTTGTTGTTTTTACATGTTTGTCATTAAATTATTTCAGATGCATAAGTAAAATGATGAAATGTACCTTATAGATGTTCACCGTAAATATATATACATTATAAGTACATTAAACCATAGAATTTAGGGGGAAATATTATTATTATTATTAATTTACTTATTAAAAGGCTTAACTAATTAAATAAGTCTAAGTAAAATTATGAAATGTCCTATGAAATGATGAAATGTCATATACAGAATATTATGAATATGTTTTGCGTGTTGTTTTTAGGTGTTTTACCTCCGGCGTACATGACGGCCAGCATGATGGAGGAGATCCAGGCCACCTGACTGTAGGAGGCGTTGAAGATCCTCTGGATGTCCTTGAAGAACACAGTGGTGGCTTTGGGGAAGGCGTAGGAGAAGCCGATGGAGATGAAGGCCCCGCCCACTACAGCCCAGCCCCACCCCCCGTCTGGAGGCGGGACTGCTGGAGGTCCGACAGGTGGAGGCATCTCTGCCAATCACTGCAGGGGAGACAAAGACAGGCAGCCAATGAGGTAAGAGAGAGGCGGGGCTATCCGGAATGGGCGTGTTCAGGAAACCTGTCTGTAAACAGCTGTAATGAGTTAAATGTATACAAGCCAATGCCATGATGACAGCACATAATATTAGACTGGATATTCTTCAAGACACTAGTGCTCAGCTTACAGTGACATGTAAAGGCTTCACTAGGGTAATTAGGGTAAAGTTAGGATAATTAGGCAAGTCATTATATAATGGTTTGTTCTGGAGACAATCCAACACTATCATCAGAAACACACTCAGACAGCAGGAAACCATCATGTTTATAATGTTAACCTAATATCTCCATGCATTACAGTAGATTAAAGATGCACAGCAATATTCTTACATTTTTACATAATTCAAAATGCATTAAATGTGCGAAACATATTTTATACGTGCAATGAAATCTCTCTAATTTCAAGTGAAGTGTCTCCTCTAATGATTT